ATCGACTTGGCACCAGCCTATTCCAGACTTCATATTTTTAGATATCTTTCTTCTATTGTACTGTGGATTTGATTTGTGAGTTGGTTTGTGCTTTGGAATCGACATTTGAATTTGGCAAAGACTCTTGTTTTGGCTATGACTTTGATGTGTTTGATTGATATCTCGCTCGTCTAATCCTACAAACTTAGTAGTGTTGATTTTGTTCTAATGTGATATATAACGAATGTACCTTCATTATTTCATAACGAATGTTTCGTTATTTCATAACGAATGTACATTCGTTATAACGAATGTTCACTCGTTATGGTGAAAAATCGTAAAGAAAGTGCTCTCGTTTTGGTTTTTTTATGGAATGACGTGTTAAACATTGTATCTTGGCCATATATCACCTTTGAACGATAGTTTGGACCCGTTAGGGCGTCGAAATACTCATAACGAAACTCTTTTTGTGAAATAACTATACTTGTTTTATTTTTATTTTTGAAAATGGATAGATCATGTAGAATCTTTGTACATTACTTATTTTGCATAAAAAATGAGTAAAATTATACCTAAAACGAGTGTAACATCTTTATAATGGAATATATAACGAGTTTTAGGTGTTTTTGATCGAAAAAGAACCATATCGAATGTGCACTCGTTATAACGAATGTACACTCGTTATTTTTTATGAAATAACGAATGTACATTCGTTATTTTGAAAAAAAAAATAAAACTTGCTTGTCGCTGGCGCGACGTCCGTCGCAGCCGCGAAGTCCTAACAACATTCTCTGTCCGACCAAGAACAGGACCCAGTGTCGCGCCCGCGACACATGTCGCTACCGCGACATACAGTCGTTTCAATATAACGATTGTACAGTCGTTATTTTGTATGGTATAACGAATCTACACTCGTTATTTAAAAAAAAAATTAAAACTTCCATGTCGCGGTCGCGACGTCTTGGCACCTTCGTTTTTCTTTTAATTTTATTTTTTTATTTTTTTAATAAAATAATAAAAAAATATTTTTTATAAAACTAATTTATAAAATGGATTTTTCAAAATCTGTTTTTAATAAAAAAAATATTTTTTATTTAAATTTTTTTGTATAAAAAATTATTTTTTATTTAATTTTATTCTATAAAAATTAATTTTTTAATAAAAAAATTTATTTTTAAATAATTTTTTTGTATAAAAAATTAATTTTTTTAAAAAAACTATTTTTCATTTAAATTTTTTTTGTATAAAAAATTATTTTTTATATAAATTTTTTTTGTATAAAAAAATAATTTTTTTAAAAAAATCCGTTTACAAAATCTGTTTCAAAATCCATTTATTTTGTATTTTATTTTTTATTTAATTTTTTTTAAATAAAAAGTCGAATTTAAAAATAAAAATAGATTTAATTTATAACTCGAATTAGTCCAATTGAAGTCAAATTAGTACAATCTCTTGTAATTATATTCTAATCGAACTCGAATTAGTCCAATTGAGATCCAATTAGTACAATCTCGATCAATTACAGTGTAATTGAACTCGAATTAGCCCAATTGAAGTCAAAATAGTACAATCTCGGTCAATTATAGTGTAATCGAACTCGAATTAGTCCAATGGAAG